ACTAATAACTTTTAGAAAATGTTTAGGGGTAAGGATTTTACTATAYTTAAGTCTTTTAATAAAATTTGGGTTATATGCCACTATGTATACTTCCTGTAATATACATAAGATAATATATATATATATGTAAAATGCCCACAATACATGACAATTTAAAGTGCATACTTGCTCAACAGATATAATAACTATGTACGTATATCAGAAAACCGTGAAAAAAAACATTATTCATATCACTGGATTGATAATATAAAAATAAGTACCACGATACCATACAAACGGACAGATGAGTTTTGCACGCGTAGTGTTGATAATTGTAAATATATATATTATTATAATGCGACTCGTGCAGGGAAATGGTTGTAGAAAATATTATCATCATAATATTATTATTATTGTTTTGCACGGCGACAGTGGATTTTTACGATGTCAATATCTCTTGTCACATGCCCAAATAATATTATCATAATATTATCGTCTTATCGTACATTAATAATAACATAGATAGGTACCTACGTGACGTTTTTATCCATCAATATGTAATATGCGTGCCACATTGTTGCCACTCCCGTGCGAGCTATGCRTATAATAATAATTATTATTAAAATATTTACTTCGTATGATAGATATTATGCACGGATCGCACGCGAGTTTATGTTTAATTGTCGCGGATATCTCGAAACACCGCCGCCGACAGATTACGTCTCAACCGTGGTATAATAATGATCATAATCCACCGCGCTCGGGTAATGGTTACACCGCATCCTTCACGTACCAAAGACTCCGTAACGTACCGCGCAGGGGACCGCGTCGCGTACCGGACCTACGGTACATTATTATTATGACGTTATTGCAGGTTACTGTATGGTTTTGTCTCACGCGAATTGTTTCAACCATTTGAATTAACGAAAATTTCAATCCCGAGCGGAGCTAATAATATTATACATTATAATTATAACGCGTCGTCGTGTGACTCTTACGACGACGCTTGTTGKTTTTTTTTTAAGTTATACAATATTATGTACGTACAAACATATGTTAACGATAAATCTCGTGGAATCACATTTCGTATTTCTAGTCCAAATTTTGTGCCGGGACGATACTACATAATAAACCGACCGGAGCGTAGGTGGCGAGATCGCAGTGCTCGAGAGCAGGCCTCCCCTGCATGGTTGTTATAAGCAACATTTATTACGTACCTATACCCAGGAATGATTCAAGAGGGGCCTCGAGGGCCGTGTCTCCCTCCCAAGATCGTATTTCTAAAAAAAATTKTATGTTAATAAATAAATTTTAATAGATACCGAATATTTTTTGAAAATTATGACACTGACCCCCCCCCCCCGTCATATCCCTGGAGTCGACTCAGAGCAAAGCATTTCAGTAGTAATATTTAAACATGTATAGTATCGAATATTATATTATGTACCTTTTAAATTGTACACATAATATAAATTCAGTAGCTACAAAATGAAACCGTGTTTCAAAAACCGTAGTCCACCGTGAACACGCCCGTTTTAAGTCGCTTTCAAAATCTGTAATATACATCATATAATCTCTTTTGATTCAGCCGTGTTTAATTTCTACCTTTCTTTCTGTTTGTCCGTGTGTATATTCGGGCAAAATGCCATTAAATTGATTAAATCCTATGTCGCGTATATTAAACGGAGCTCGACTCGGTAGGTAACAAACTTTTTTCCCCATTATTTATTTTAGAAAAGGCGGCGCGTAGCGTACCTTCCTATAACTTACAAGATTACAAATTTATATCTGCGCGCTCAAAAAATCACGGTCTGCTGGTTCGATTCGTTTAAATATCACATAARTGTATAGGAACCCATATTATATACGAGTARATTGTGTTGCCACAAACTCGAGGTCATCCACATAGAACGACGAGTATTTGACGAATAATACAAATTTRAATTWAAACGTTAGAACATTAAAACCTTATAAGAATGCAGTGGACATTTTGTGAAAAAAAATTATTTTGTTTGTGCACACTTCGCTTGACGCAGAGTTTTTTTTTTTCCATTATCCCGACAAGACGTTACAATATTTTATTTATACGAAACTAACATCAGTGATGACTTATTATAGCAATTTACTGTCGCCATACGAAAATATTTAAAACGGAAATAGGTACTATCTATGCCTACTTGTCTAATATTCTTTTTTTTTCTCTATTCAAAAGACAATCATAAATTTATGTTTACGTAATTCGCCTACATCTTATGAAGTATATATACTATATATATATATATATATAATATTAAAGTTATATACTCTCATTTTTGTATTATCTTACGCACTCATAGATGAATTATTATATTTGAAATGTTTTACAAAACACGTATACAACAAACAAGTATCCGGAAAATTAATTTATGCATAAGGGTTAGGTTATTATTGTCATCAGACATTATCTAGACCGGACTCGTTCTGAAACAAGTCCGCCKGGAAAAAGACCGACCAATGTATAATGCGTATGCATAATAATACACAGATTATAAAGTTATAATATTATATAGTAGACGATAAATCTATCATTACGCATATTAATCGTAATAATCGCATCTCCCTCCTGGAGTGGTCTTCCCGTTCCTAGACACTATTATAATAATAACGTTATAAATATTATACCTACAAAACCTTGAAAGTCCCGTTARACGAGTAATAATAATGATGTATATTACTATATTATGTTATACTTGTAAACGTAACAAGACGACCAAATGCGTGCCGATTGAAATTTCTTTTCGTGTCGTCCAGAACACATATAATAATAATATAATATATTGTTAAAAAATATTATAATTACAATTTTAGTACGCTCGACACAACCGTGGAGTAGAAAATAATAATAATATTATTCTATACGGTTTTTTTTTTAAAGAAAAAAAAGAGGCCATTGTAAAATAAAACACGCTCATCTTGCATTGACGCGGAAGAAAACAGTTTCCATTGTGTGTATCAGCTGCTGTATCATATTATAATATTGTAGAGTTTAAATACGATCAATCGAGATAATAATATTATACATGAAAAGGCTTGATAAAAGCAGCCACCCAGTGATGACACTTAAATATTGAGATTATACCTATATATGTATTTGAATTTATTTATTTGTTTTTTTTTTATATATATAAAATATTAAGTTAACATATCTAATTCCTCAGAATTAATATTTATTCTGTGATAGTCTCAACTGATGTGGTTGTCGAGGAGTTATTTATAGGTATAATATTTTTGCAATATGGTTATTTTTCATTTGGATCCAATGMATTTTGATAAATTTGTAACAACTATGCGTAGGGAAGAAGCTGAATAATTTTGATATTTATTGATTTATTCATAAGGATTTTTTTGTAACCTATATTGAATACCTAATAGGTACCTATCTACTTAAATTAATATTATTTTTCACGGGAATTTTGTTTTAAATAAGTATTATAAGGATTTAATATTGTACACAATAGTTATAAATTGTTTATACGCTAATAAGTGTCTAAAGTTAGAGGATTATAATGGCTGACATCTTGGTAAGGARTGATGCGAGGTTCCCGGATAGGATACAGAAGAACAATTTGTTTTTAAACTCATTTAGTWTTGTTTCAAAAAAAAACTGTTTTGAAGAACGGAGTAATGAACATGAGAGTATGTACTGCCCCACACAGTTTTATTCTAAATAAATCCATATCCATACCGTACCTAGCATACTATATACGAGCATTTAAATTGTTTAAATTTGGAGTAATATGACAATTTGAAAATATTAAAATTAATAATTTTCTAGCACTTGTCCATTTCACTTTGACTATAATTGTCGTGGAATTCGTAGTTGAAGCATTTTGTGTTAACACGTCACGTGGCCGAGACTACCTAATAATACTATTATTATTATTATTATAACCTCGTCACGCACGAGCGTCCCTAATGGAAAAAACTCCATCAAAGGTCGCCGYCGAGAACGACGATAATAACAATGATCGATAGCAAACAGTTTTTGATTTTCGTTTTCCGTAACAAATCGTCAAAAATCTTATCCGATCAACGACTACAACAATGATGATGATTATACATTATAATATTCCAAGTCTAGCTATGCGGTACATTATTACGTAACGTTGGAGACATTAGTCTCTAGTAATAACTAGGAGGGGTGGCTTAACCCCCAATGAAACTTTACCCCCTCCTTGTTAAAATCCAAATCATTGAATAAAAATACCCATCTCGACATTTCTCCGCTATACACCTATGAATCCTAAATTTATTTTATTAGTAATAATAAATATCCATCGTGACAAAAACGAAAACCTTACGAAAAATCGGCCATAAACGAAAAACATGTACCTATCCAGCCCAAAAACATATTGAGGTTAAAAAAAAACCGTAATGGATTCATTGTATAAGATAATTTATTAATAATCATATTATAATACTTATATTCCAACAAAATAATATTTTAGATGTTTATTTACGAATTTATGTAGAAGCAGGCTCGAGCAGACTTCTYGATCTGGCTATAATAAATATAGAAAGTTAATTATCCAATAAACGTATTGATAATGATAGTTTTTAACGTTTACATTTAAATATAGGCGTGTTCTGTGTTATAAAATCTAAATTATTATACTTATAATTTTATTGTTTTCATTATATTAAACTTTAATAACGAAGATCCGGGTAACTCTATGGTTTATTTTCAACTTTACCCCGCAACAGGACTCCCTGCAGCTGCAACTACTTAACTCTAGTTACGCTCTTGGCGGGGAGTGTGTAGCGCCCTCCCTGTGGTTAATTTCAATTTTAAGCCTTTAGACTTAAGTGCCCTTGCTAGGAAACTCTAGTCCTGCAGCGCAACTGTTAAATCGTTCTATGATTACGCCCATGGTCGTCCTTGGAACGATTCAGTTCCACGGCGGTGGCGATGAAAATTATAGGACGTACAATAAATTACATTTCGAAAAATAGTAAATACAAACACAATGATGATGACTTACCTGGTGWCGTGACATCGTCGGTGGACAGTGGTAGAGCCTCGGCCGACCAGATCGCGGCCAATGCTACGACTGCAAACACGTAGAATATCGTCTTGAACGACATCGTAACGTTTCGTATCTTTCAGTCGCGTTTACGCGCAACACTCGCAAAGGTTAGGAGACACACACACACACACGGTTGTTGTCGAAGTCCAAAACGCTGAAGATTTCTACTCGATGTGATATATCGGGCTAGATTCGCACGCGGGTCGCCGTTCGAGTACACTCTGCTGGGCACGACCGCTTTCCAGAT